AATTTATTTTTATTATTTTAATTTCTATAATTTTTTTATTTATAAATTATATAATTACAAGTGATTAATAATATGATTGATTTTTTATCAAAATTTTGCTTGATTTATTGTTATTTACTCTTGAATTTTTGAAAAATAAAATAAAATTTTTAGCAAAAAAAGGACAAAAATGGGAAAATGACCAGTTGATGAGAGGAAAAAAAGATGAACGTAAGGAACAAAAAAACCCTAACAAAATTGTTCCGATTTATCCCACTAGCCAAAAAATATTTTACTTTAATAATTATCCTATTTTACATGAAAATGTCCAAATTAACTAACACCCCATACCCATAAATATAGTGTGGTTTCAGATAGGGAGAAAAAACCCCTGATAATAATAATGATGATGATGATAAATGCAAAGAAAGGTAATTAAGAGAGGGAGAAAAAACCCCATAAATATAGTGTGGTTTCAGAGAGGGAGAAAAAACCCCTGATAATAATGATGATGATGATAAATGCAAAGAAAGGTAATTAAGAGAGGATACAGGTTAATGAGAGGCAAGGAACAAAAGAGATGAACGTGCGCGTAGCTTTCGGGCGGGCATTAACACGATGCCACCATCCAACCTCCCACGTGGTGCCCGCGTCCTCATGCCACGGGTGCCTCCCCGTTGCCTGCTCTTTATCCCTCACCTACTAAATGTTTCAAAATTTGCACATATGACCAAAAGCAATAAACAGTTTTTCTTGAAGCTAAAAATTTTTGCTAATCGTACATCTGATAACAAAATATTAAACCAAATAGACTAAATATTGCAAGTTTATCAAAAAAAAAATTGGGGAAAAAAATAATTTGAAAATCTAAATTCAAATAAATAAAGTAAATTTGAATTTTTAACTAATTTCTTTTTTGCTAACGCTAACCATGCGAGCGACAATTGTTTTCGATGTGTAAAAATCCATCTGTGGAAATTTGTTTTAAGTAGCGATTATTTGCAATGTTTCTTCTGAATTATCAACGGAATTTTCTTAGTATTAACGTGCATATGACTGAGCATGTAACGTCGTCATTAAGTCAGATAACTTATTATATGCACATAAATTTGGTGATCATAGATTGTTTATGTACAATATTCATTAGCATATAAACATTTAATTGGATATGAAGCATACCAAATATGTGACTGTCACTCGGATGAGTCACATCTATATTAATATGCATGCCTAACTACTGGGAACGAGGCTCGCTCAACAAATGATAGCCCGAACTAGGCCGCTGGTGGACTCCAAAGGAGTTAAAGTTGAGCGGACTGACTAGGTTTCCCTTGTTACCAAAAAAACAAATGATAGCCATGAGGGACTGTTTAATTCAAAAACCCCATTATGAGAAAACCTAATTTCAAAGGGAAAAAAAAAACTATTTTTGTGTTTTCCAGCCACTTCTTAGAAATGAGTTTTTATTGTTTGGTTTGGGCAAGAACAACCTCAATTCCTAGAAAATCATAATTTCAATTGCTTGGTTCATTGTCTAAAAAATAGGAAAACATACACATGAAATATCTGTTAGATCTACATCATAAAACTTGAGATCTAAAACCATATAGCCATGATTAATTCAAAGGAGATTAACAAAATCTAAAGAGAGCGGAAGCTTATACCTGAATCCATTGCTTGATCTTGATTTTGGGTTTTGGATCTTCTAACCTTAGGGTTTTCTCTTTAGCCGAATTTCTCTCTTAGATGGGGGTGAAGAGAATTAGAGAATGTAACCCTAGGTTAGGGACCATAACCCCTTATTTATAGATGTTGTACTTTTGTAATTTAGCCCCTCAATAAATTACAATTACAACCTGGTATCTGCACATATAACCCCATGACTTATTTAAATACCAAATTAACCCAACTTAATTGATCACTTCAGTGGGTTATCCTGAAAGATAGCAATACACAATGATTAATCATATGTGCCCACAAATAGATTTATTAGATTAAATCCAACAATATCATCTCAGCCAAAAACCCTTAAAATATTTTATTTTAACCAACTTCAGCCTTTTCCTTTAAAAAAGTTAGGAAATGAATTCTCTCAGAAAAGTGTTATTAATGTTTTGGGAACTCACTTCTTAGAAAACAGGGTTGAAATAAACATTGCAAGCGGTCTCTAAAATTGAAAAACTGACACATTTTTTCACAGAAATTATTTTTAGGGTGTTTTCTAATTTTTTTTTTTGGCCGAACCAAATAGCCCCTAAATGTCAACTCTTTATTGTGGAACTTTGTGCTAATTGGAATGCTAAAAAGCCAAATGACAAGGTACTATGTTATTTCAATATTGGCAAGTGTGACAGTTCTTGCAATTAATATGAAGCAATATTTTTTGGCAGCTGTACATGTAATGATGCACAAGCGTTTATGCAGGGAGGCATGCCAAAATAACGGATGAAACGAGTAGAAAATAATACGAGGGAATGGAGACTGTGGAGTACGGGGTACATAGATTAAATTAGTAGGTGAAGTCCAAACCTTGCGTTATCTGAAGGGTGCGAAAAAAAAATCTGTATCCGCGGATATATCTGTATATGTATCGGTTAAAATACGGATATAGTTACTAGATATCTAATTTTGATAGGATATGAACTTATTTGTAATGGAAACGAAATTTCATTTATCTTTCTTTCCTCGGAACTAATTTGACCTGTTAATCAAACTGGGACTAATGAAGGAGCCAAAGGGGCATGATGTGATCTGAGACCAACCCTATTCAAAAAGCCCAGTGGGCGAAGTGTCTTACGCTAGAATCTGGATGTTATATAATATGGCTCTATCTTTAGAAGTCACTATAACCAGAAGGATTTCATCAGCTTGCGCCTCATAATAGGGACCTACTTTGCATTATTAAGCATTAAATCCACACAATGTTTCTAAAGTTCCAAATAATAGAAAGTGGGATCTAACAAGAGAAACCCAGGTCTAGAGCTATTGTTTTAGACATCCGGATTTATTCAAGATGTAAGATAAAGAAGGGCTAATTGCGAACATGCTGCTTGTAGTATCACTAATTGCAGAGACCCCCCCTGTAATTCTATTTATTGCGTATCGACCCCTGTAGTATTGGCCCAAGGATGAATACACCTCCTAAGCGAACATTTTTTTCTAACTCTTTTAAATGTTTTAAAAAAGCAAGTAGGTGTCTATACTCGTCAATAGAGCTGTGAGGAGTTTATCCGTACGCTCGAACAATTTTAGTAATTTTAAGAGTACAAAACAATTCACTCAAGGAGTCTATTCGCAACCAGCAAAACTATAGGAGGTCTATTCGCAATAAATAAAATTACAAGGAGCCTATTTACAATTGGGTGATTGATTCTAAGGGGTCTGTTCGCAATTAACCCTATGAAAAATTACTTCTGAACCAGTTTTCTTGTTCTACTGATATAAAATCACATTAATGACAGTAACTAAAATTTCCCATGGTAGATACAAAAACAAAATGAAAAACATATTAATGATTCAATGTTCTCCAAAATCTGTTTGACTACAGATATCCTTGCGAATTTTCTATTGTGCTCTTTGTTTGGAAATTCTTGATGCAGTCACATGCCTGGGTTTGAATTTTTTTTTTTTTTTCACATGCCTTGGTTTTCTTTGGCCTGTGTAAGTCAGGCTTCAACCAAGATATAGCCCTAAGATAGTTGGCCATGGGAATGATGGGCTATAGAAAGTACCATGTGATGACTTGGATGGCTCATGCACATCATGCTTATCATTGTTAGGGTCAGTTTGATATTGTTACAGCCCGTAATATATTACTTACATAAATAGCTCATAAAAGCAATTTATATAAACCCTCAAAAATAATCATTTGGCAATCATATATCAAAAGTTGTTTTTTAAAGCAGCTAATATGTTTGACAAAACAGTGTTTAAAGATCAAAAAAGCAATTAATGTGCTTAAAGATCACCGTCAAAAATAAATATCATATCATACAAGCATATAAACAAAAAAAAGTAGAAATTGCATTTAAAAGCATTCTGAGATTGCCTTTAAAAACAGAAGCAATTTTAATAAACATTGCAAAAGAAAATTTCACCAAATACTATTATTGACTATTTAAAAAAACATAGCCAAAGCACAAAAAAAAAAGGAAAAGCGATACCAAACTAGGCCTTAATGGCAATCGTGTTACTTTCACAAAAACCACCTCCACTTTGGGGGATTTTTCATATAACCCCTTTGAACTTTGATCTAACATAAGTCATAGCCCACAAGGGTCACTCACAAACCGCCACTGAACTTTGAATTTATCTACCTCCATACAATTTGAAAGTAAATAAAATTGTTTTAAGAGAAAACAAGGCCAAAATTTTGACAAGGCATGTTGCCTGTAAATGACAATTTACAAAATTGATGTTTTCTCTCTCAAGAAAATTCCAAAATTTTGGTTAAATATAACATTAAAAAATTAGTAAAAAGTGAAAAAAGCAAAGCGAATTTTACTACCATAACTTGCTTCGAACATGTATGTCAATTTTCCTGACATTTTTGCACTATGAACAATCATGTCACTTCAGTGAAAATTTGCATCTGTAACTATATAATTGTAATCTTCAAAAAAGATAGTTACAATGCGATTGCAACTACTTATTTTGTTTCAAATGTACTCTTCTTGCGACCGCTCTCAGGAGCTGCAGTCTTCTTGCGACTACTCTCAGTTAAATATTATGAATAAATAAATAAAACAAGATTGATGCATGAATATCAATAGCATAATCCATGTACTTCCAACATTTACTCTAGAAATTAGACCAAAAAGGAAAATTTATGCTTTGTAAATAGGATGGACAGATCGTACAATAGTACTCAGCGCAAGAATGGTAGTTACCAATACAACCTAAATGAAACATAGAAGCAATGGGATCTCAATCAGACATATCATGCACCCATTATAACAGAGACAACATAATTCAAAGAAAAGACATAAAATCAGCCCACTGGTTCAATATTAGTCCAAGTATAATTGAAAATTTTACCACTTCGGAATTTAAGTACTAGATATTTAACCGTCCTCTACAGGGATATGCAATAAACTAATAACAATCAAGTGTTTCCAATAAAGAAGCGCTTAAAGTCACCAACCAAAAATATGCTTATCACCTACTTCTCAAAAAACATGACGCTATCAAGTTCAAATGTTAAAGAAAGGTCACATCTGGTGGAAATCCATTTAGAGAAGGCATAAAATGATAGCGGTAGATATATGCAGTTTCACCGCCGGATCTATATAACTTACAGATACTCTCAACAATCATAATAATACTGAAGTCAAAAGCTGGTAAATATAAATCTGAAGGCAAGACACACGAGCATCAACTTCTGGTCTTCAAGCAAGCAGTCGTGTGATAAAAACTAATCAGAGCTGACTGGAAACTCAAACTTGCTACCTCTCCTCTCGAACAACGGTCGTTTCTTTTAAATTTGCAACCTTTTCCTTTGAAACTCAAGCTACGGAACCAAAAAAAGGAGTCTCAGAAGAAGTACAAACGCCACAAAAAGTTCATGGGTTTATACTGGATTACTTGTGGACAGACCCCTGTACACTGCCTAATTGCAGACAGGACCCTCTGCAGTTATTGTTGTAGAGTGATTTTTTTTAACTCAAAGAAAAATAATTTTTAGTTGACAAGTAGACCTACTGAAGGTTAAAAAAGTCAAACAAAAAAAAGTTTCTAAAAAATATCACTCAATCTGAAACAATAGAACTACAGGGAGGCTATCAGTAATTAACCCATTTATAGTCAACAAAAAGGAAGAGGTTTTACCACTTTCTTCACACGGTCATTGGCAGCTGGAGTTCCTCCGCTAACATTTGAAGGGTGATATGGGCTGCTTACTCGGACTTCATTCATCACAACTATGACAGTCTTGTCCCAGCGAACAGGAAGCCTAATTATACAAGAGGGCTTACTTAGTTGGTGATAAGAATTAAGACTACAAAGGAGAAGGTTTTCATGGTTCAGATTACAAGTGACTCGCACTGGGGTTAAATCTCTAGACAGCCTATTTATAGAAATATCCCACACATTCACTCTGATATAGACATGCAAAGACAAGAATGTCAGAATAAATTTTGTGCGATATTTTTCTCCAGATAGGCTGACTAGGGTTTGAGTGATGACAGAAAGCCTGATGAAAAAGAATAAAGTGGATTGTGAGACATTGCAAGGGACTACACTTCACGTTCCCCATTTGCATATTGTTTCTGGTCTTTTGAATAGCATACACACATATAAAGCGTTCAAGTATTTCAAGAAAGACCAAAGTATATTGATTTCTATATATACTTGTCTATTAAACATTGTAAGCATAAAACTACCACGAATCAGCAATATTGATCACGATCAAATGTTATGACATACACCTCATCGCATGATGTCATATGACAATCCAGCAGTAACATCTTTGTTCTGATATTATAAAAGACAATCAAAAACGAAAATGAAGCAGTGCCCTGTTTTCTTAAAAGAATGATCAGGTCAGTGAGTATCAAAATGATATTGATAAATCTCAAGGACCAAGCTGCATGATTTTGATAAAGCAGCATCAACAATTCAGGTAGGAGAGGAAAAGAGAGTACACATTTGAGGGAGGAGGTTTCACAGTATCTGTGACGCAGAGACCACATTCTCAAATAAAATGGGAAGCTTTTATGCGATCAGGATTTCTTAATGCTAAGAAGTAGCCAGCTTTACATTTTTAAGCGACCCGGCGTTTATTGATGCCGAGAAATGTCACTGGGATTTCTGCATTACAAGAAAATTTGAGGAGGTTCCAAATGGGGAAGAATAGGAAAGAATGATGAAAAACATAGTAGCTATTCCTCATATCTTAACAGAAGAAAATAGGGGAGGATGAAGAATATAAGAGAAAGAATAGGATAAAAAGGAAGACCTTTGTCTTCGAAAGGAACACAGCTCATCATATTCACTTATCTAAAAATTTTCAATCACATGCAGCCTTTTTATAATCAACTAGTATGTAACACGTACTTTGCACGTAATGCATATTAAGTAATGCTAAGAGACTAAAATATTCAAAGGCTATCTAACATTGCATTTGTCACGATTTTTTTTAACAACAATAAAGAGGACTCAAACAGAACCCCCAACCACCCACTCGTCATGAATTTATTGACATTTATATTAGTTTTTCTCTCCACAAATTTGCATACTTGTATAACTAATAGATTGATGTTTTTTCGTAAATTGAAGATGAAATCGGTGGCAGATATGTTCGTTTCCGCCAAAGCAATACAATTTTCTCTCAATTATCGCCTCTAAAATCTGGTTGACTGCAAGGTATCCTGATTACTATAATCGAGGAACTCACTCCATTGTGAAATCTTGAGATCCAAGTGGAATGTTTATGGAAATAGATTAGTCCTGAAATGATTAGTGCATAATTAATAAAGAGAATTTGATTAGTCAATAAGAAAATATACATGAATGATTTAAATATGAGTTCATATTCTCACTAAATTTTATATTAAATGCATTATTAGGAGGTTTAGAAGGGGAAATGTTATAAATTACTTTATCAGTTAGGATTTAATTATCATATTGCAATAGTTTTTTCAAAAAAATTAAGACAACCAAACTAAACTAAAAACCCAGAAGCAGAACAAAGAATGTGGATTAATACTGCTCCTTATCAGACTGCAAAACATTGTGTAAAAATGATGGTGAATCTTCAAGTTATACGACAAAATCATTAATTTCCTTAATTCTTTGGACCAACACATGAGCCTTTATATTCTCCATTTAACAACTTACCTGAAAATCTCATTCCTCAAGTCATGTACAACATCACTGAATATCATCCACAAAGTGTTCAAAAAGCGAGTGTCGCTTCACATTATTATGAATACCTCTAATTATCACATCCACATGTTCTTTAAAAATTACCTTCCCACATCCATTGTTAAGAGCAAATGTAATAGATTGCCACATCGCTTGGAATTCTGCATGCTTAGAATTACCTCATATCCAAATACTATGATTACAATAGTTAGTAATATATATTATGATAATTTATATGTTATTTCTAGACAACAACAAGAGATTAACATTTATACTAGAATTCGTGTCCACAAATTTTTTATACATTAGATGCACATATCAATATATTTTAGTATTAGATTAGATGTTAGATGTTTAAATAAATACTAAATTATGATATAATTTATAAATATAAGTTATGATATTATTATCTTATATATTAAAATTGTATATTTATTGACATAAGTTATGATATTATTATCTTATATATTAAAATTGTATATTTATCATATAATATCTAATATCTATAGCGAAATATTTATCTCATTTAACATAAGACTAATATGGTTAAAATTTCTAATATATCAATTCTTATGTTTAGTGCAAGAATAATTATAGTATAATAAATAGAATGAATTGAATAAATTTCTAATTAAAATTTATAATATATATTTAGTTTTTAATATTAGTTCTCATGTTTATTGCAAGAATAATTATAGTGTAATAAAAAAATGAATTGGATAAATTTTAAGACATTACTGTGAATTATCAAAATTTAGAAGGGTAAAAGAGGCAATCAGAAGTTTTAACAACCCCATCCTTTTTTATTAGTATAGATCAGCAATTACATGATAAAAACACTTGTGATACTATAAATAACTACTCGTAAAACCATGACTCTTGAGATACCATAACCAACTCCTACCATAACATGACCAAAAAGTAGAACTCTTGGGATAACATAACAATTAACAAGTGATTGCTAATTGAAACATGACAAAGAATGACGCTTCAAATCCCATGACTCAACTTATTGCTTAGTAAAAATGTAATATACTGCAATTACACCTCTAATAAAGACTAGAACTAGAAAAAGGGTAACTCTCGTTCAACTTAAACATGCATTAACGTCTTTCTTGGTTCGTGGGAAGGGAATGCTCATTCCCACTTCTTATTCATGCATACCATACAGAATACCTTTTTAGAAGCTAGAATGATCATTCCTACTTCTATTCATTCTCACTTTATGTGGGAATGAGCATTTCAAATGAGATGGTAGCGAATGAGCATTCTCGCTTAAGTGAGAATCAAGTAATTTGAAATAAATTCCAAAGATGTCCAAATTGTTTATTAATTATTCATACCAAAAATTAAAAAAATTATCATTCCAGCTTCATTCTCTAATCGCACCCATATGTGAGAATAAGAATGAGCATTCCACTTTCACACCAATTTCATTTCATTCTTTATTTCATTTCGTTCTCGCTTGACTTCGTTCCCGCGAACCAAACGAGGCGTAATTGTTATCTAACACAATATCTCGTTGAACAAGGAACCCCAAGAATTCATTGGGTATTATAACGAATCCCATGAGAACAAATATACTTAAGAACGATGACACACAAACATGATAATTGTGTGAATGCGGCTTTGAAATTGTCTTATTACAAGATTACATGAGAAGATAAATTCTTGAAACATTCATAACTATTTGGACAAAATGAACAAAACCTAGTTGGTGAACTCTCAAGTTCCCCAATAAAGTATGAATTTGCCTATTTTTCCATTTAAACTATGTGTGTGTCCAATGTGATCATTTTGTGAGCTACAATGAAATATTAAATAGATTCCTGATGTGATAGTGTTTTTTTTGTATTTATTGATATTTTGCGATTAAAAAAATAATTTTTCAATTCCTAAAAAGGGTTAAAGGGTAAAAGGTCTTGGGGTAAAGTGGTTAAGAATTTTTTTGGTTTGGGAAAGGGAGACATGCTGATAAAAACCCATGAAGAAATACAAAAAGTTATTGCTACATCATTGATATGTTAAATATTTCATTGTAAGCTCAACAAATGACCATATTGAAACCGCAAACATAGTTTTAGTGACAAAATAGGTAAATTAATATGAAAGTTCATCAGTACTTTGAGTTAGTTATTTTGCCCCAACTATATTTGTATTACAAGGAGCTAATTTCACATTTGAATAAAAATTTTGGCTTAGGTAGTGAGGATATCACTTATGAAAGGATATGTCAAAAGCAACTTACTATTTATATTACATAAGCATATATTTTTCGCATCGAATATGTGAGAATAAGAATGAGCATAACACTTAAATGTATATCTTGCATGCATTAAATTACTATTATTCCTGAAACTGGGCTCATGTGACTTTCTTTTGAAATTAGTTTGGCTAATTTTTATGTTGTTTGTTGTCTCTAATTCCTGATCGAAACTATTTTATGTGCACTATAATCTATGTGATAGTGCTCTGTAACTCCAATGCACTTAGTCATATCTCCATGAGTCTTAGTCATATTTGCAATCTAATTAGATATTACAAAACTAAGCTCCTATAGATAACGTTTGGTGTTAGTTTCATGCTCTAATTGAACCTTATTTCGATTCTAAATTCTCAAATTTGCTGCCCTTATTTCACGTCAATGCTAATACACCACATGTTAGAATCATATGCTTCAGTGTCAAGAAGACTGTCACGGTAATTAGTACAAATTAAACAGTCATCTTATAATGATCATCTAAACACTTACGAGTGTGTGTATTTTTGTATGCATATACAGGAACCCTCGAGGAAATTGTTGTCGGTGCTAAGTTCGCCACAACCGATAGGTAACTCTTCACTTATATTTCTTTCTATGCTATGAAAATTCACTTACATTCTCTTGCTTCTGATGAAATGTTATTTGAACCACTTCATGTGTAGGATGTTGCAGATAGCTCGTTTATCAACTATCCTATTTGATCCATGCCTTGAAATTTGGTAAATTCATATTATAAGGGGTATTGCCTCAACTTTCGATCATCTTGATTAGTGACATCTATGTGCTGTATTTTTTGGGTTACGAGTGTTAATTCACTATTAGTATTCTATTAAATCCCGTGGAGACCAAGTGCCCTATGTGAGGACGCTCACCGGTGGATGTATGTATGAAGGCAATGCACGATATTGACATTATCCCAGAAGTGGGAACTTACGATCATGAATATCTAGTTGTTTATTCTTTTCGATGTTCATAACTTCATGTTAATCCTTGATGCTACTATGGATGCTACTATTGATATCTACTATTTTATTTTGTCTGTAGCATATCACTTCCATATCCCTCTATGGTTGTACCTATGGCTTTTTTTGTTACCTATTAAGCCTTAAGCTCACCCCTATTATTTATTTTACATCCCATGTAGGTACTAATCCAGAAGAGGGAAAATGTGTGACAAGTGAGTTTGAAAACTAGTTTAGAAATGCTCTTTTTTCGTACTTTTGCACTACTTATGTACTATCATGTACTTAAAACTTTTATTTCGGATTTCAGCAAGTAATATATTGTTCCGTTAAGCTTTCTAGCTTTTATTCTGGTATTCTGTGCACTCAGCTGTTAACCTGAGATTTCTAGGCGTTGTATGGTTGCGATATAGACGTGAATTTGTACTTTGATATTGCTTATACATGATGTATATGAAAATTAGGCAGGTTGACCTTTAATCTTGTGGTTGGGTCATGTGCAATTTTCACACACCTCTTGGGCCCCGTCTTTATTAGTTTTGGGGGCCGTTATAGGTAGGCTTGCCTCTCTTCTAGAAGGTAAGGTTATGGTAGTAAGTGGTTACACATGTACATCATGTGGATTTTTTGCTCGGCTAGATAATCGATTGACAACCAAAGATATTCCAAGAACTAAGGTGTTTATTAAACATCATGTTTATCTTCATACCAAAGACCAACCTCTTCGTGCCATCTTATTTCTCTTGCAAATTGCAACTAATATACATCGATAATTAAACTAGCTTTATATGAAGAATATATACTTTGATAACTTTCTTGAGGAGAAAGTTTATAAGAAGAAACCACACGAGTTTGTTGCTAGAAAAGTAAACAGCTAAAATTTTTAGGTTAAGGCCATGCCTAATTTGAAGAAGTTAGCTAAAGCATGGCTTAACAGTTTCATAAGATTGATAAGGGATCTGGCCTTTAACGATGCTATGCTGATTCTTTAGCTTTTCTATAAACATTGTCAATTAAGACAAAAAAACAACCCACAAATTAACTATTGAAATCACATAAGAGGATCTAGTGATATTTATCTCTTAAATAAACATGAACTTAGCTTAATAATTAACAGTTAATTATCTTATAGAAAATTATCACAATTATAGATAAAAGAAAAAAATTAAATAGAAAATGCGTAGGGTTTTGCATTTTAGACGCCTGAATCATTATTAATTATGTGTTTTGTCCTCAAATCTTCATATATCTAAATTAGACCACAGAAATCTCTAAAATTGTCTTAAAAGAATTTTTCATATTTAACTAGTTACTCTTTTTTTACTGTTATTGTCATGTAGTTTTTGCTGCACCATTATGCCCTTAGTAAAGACAATAGTAACGTTTTGACAAATGCACTTAGCTACCCTTTCTACCAACATCTCTTGATCTTTCTTAGACCGACTCTCTTTTGTAATTTCTCATATTTCCTACTCCTATGCCCTCTTTCCTCAATCTCTCCATTTTCTCGGCCTCTCACCTATTTGGAAGAAAATCTAACTAATGAGGGTATTAATGTAATTCAACGAAAATGGTTAAGAGTTAATTGTAGACTGATAAAATTTTTGGACAGAATCCATCTAGGCGCTTTTTAAAACTTAATAGATTTTGTCTAATTTAAAAATATGAAGAATTACTAGGTCTAATATAGAACTAAAGAAGATTCGAGATATAATACAACAAACTCATATTAAATTATAAACTTGTAACCCTCAACGGTCACCACAACTACAAAGTTTTTATAAAGTGGAAGGAAACTTTTGACATGGTATTAAAATAAGTCAGGTTCAATTCTAATGGACCACGAATTTAAAGCAGATTTTAAAAAAAATATCACTAGATGAGCCTAGATTTTGACCCATGAAAATATCTTGTCAGACGTGTTTAAGTATAATACTGTAATCATCAACCTCCACCACAACTTCAGAGTTTTGAGTGCAATGATGGAGACGTTTGATAGGCCAAATATTTATATGACAGTGGTGTTGCATATAATGTAGATGTAAATGGGATTTTTGCTCCAGTAACTATAAGCCCCAAATCCTAACCCTAACCATGACCCTAGATCAATAATTTTCATAGAAAAGATCCATTCTATTCCTTGATCTTGTAGCATGATACACCAGCTCCTCCATGCTTAATCTCACCAATAATACCTTATTTTTCAACAACAAATCCATTCATCTATCGTCAGCTACTGACAAGCTAATCTCCATCAGCTCGCTACCCACTTTTAAGTTATTCGGGATAGTAAGAAAAATGTTCTTAAAGGAGCCATGAATTATCTCTGATATTCTAAACTATACCCAACATGTCATGTGTCACCGACACCGGACAACAAATTACCAGTGTTTCTAACAAGTAATAAAAAACAACTAACTTATGACATGTCTTGAGAGTTAAGGATAACGTTAAACTCAACCATGTAAAGTAATTGATAATTGATTTAAGAGTAAATCTTTTGACACATATCAAATCTTACCAAAACAACTAAGATAGTAGTTGTTCATTAGCATTTAATTGATCATCGAGCCTTTTATCAAGCCTTTGGAATTACCTTTGTGTTTGTGATTATGATGATATATAAATATATATGTTATTAAAAATGTAATAGAATCATCATGGTCAAATAGGGGTGATGTCTAACTATTTCTATATTACATTCCAAAAGGTAATGTACAACCTTAGTTATAGAGGGAGTTTTTGAAGGATTGTTTTTATTATATGGAAGAAATTAGTCTTATAAGAACAATACATGAAAGTATCTGTAAGTTCAAGGTTATCGATAGTGCATAGGGTTGCATAGCGCTAAGGTACTACTAGGGCTATTTGTGCCTATAGCGACAAATAACGCATAGTCAAATAGCGGTCCAATTTAAATATATTTAAATATTCTAAAAAAACAATGGAAGGACAGGGCTTCTCTGAGGGCAGAACTTTGTCAAGGAGATGAAGCAAAGGCAGTTGGAGGATCTGGAAAGGAGAGAAGATGGAGATGGAGGTTGGAGGAGTTGGAGAGGAGAGGAGATAGAGATGGAGCTCGTCGAGGAGATTGTTGTTTGCTGTAGTGTCGAGGAAAAAAGAGCTGGTCTTGGAGTTAGAGGATTTGGAGAGGTGAAGGAATGGTGGAGGGAGGCAGTAGAGTTGGAGCTCGTCCAACACGGAAGAGAAAGAGAGAGGCGGAGGTCCGGTTAGGGTTTTTGAGAAAGAGGCGGAGGCAATCGAATGCAAAAGAGAGAGAGAATGAGTTTTATAAGTTGGGTCAGGTTCAGGTTTAATTCGGATCAAGTTTTTTATAAAAATCAACAAAAAAGCGCTAATTGCGCTCAAAAGCATATTTAAGCGCTATTAACAACTTTTGTGCGCTATTTCACGCTTTTCTTTGCTATTTCAAATGAATAGAGGTCACCGGTGCTTTTTCTCACCGCTATGGCCAAAATTATCACGGGCAAGGGCCGCTAATGCAATTGACCGCTATTTACAACACTGTCGTAAGTTTATACAAATTTACAAACTATTAAGGTTTAAAAATATCCACAAAGTCCAAAAGGCTCAAGCTATTAGGTGGGAGAATAATAGTAAAGTAAGCAAAGTGGCACAAAATGAAACACCATTACCCTCGCAAAACCAACCGGAGCACATGCAAATACGTTTCAAAAACAAAATGTGGGGAGGGAAGGGTCTAAGCCACAAATACCAATTGCTAAAACCATCATAAACTTCATTACCTAGAAAATTAAGATGTTGTGAAGTTGCTAATCAACATTTTTTCAATCAATAACATGGATAACAAACTGAAATGGCAAGAGCTTTCTGACATATCCGACTCCCACTCCAAAAACTTTCGAAAGTAGTCTCCGTTTGAATTTGATAACCTAACATTACTATTTGTCTACAAGTGAATCATCCTAAAGATTGAGATGATGGAGCGAACCATAAAGCTTCTTTGAATCTACTTATATTGTTGCAAAAATCACCATTAATAATCACAAATATCCTCCTATTGTCTTCCCGTTCCATGTATATGTAATCTCATTCTCATTATCTTTCGAGGTCCCATAAGGGTTCATGAAATAATAAAATTGCTCCCTTAAAAAAAGTTATCTGAAGGCATAGTTCATCGATACAACAAATTGTTTGGAAGCGGATTATGAATATTTCAATCACATCAAGCTTAACTCAGCAGCTCAAAGTCCCTCTCCTGTACTATAATCCTTTAACACTTCCACTTTGAGTCATGCTGCATGTATGCCTAATATATTCCAGATCTTAGTGAATTCTACAAATCCACTTTAAATGATTACACTATTCCTAAAGTAGGATCAGATCTCTAACTAATTCTAAGTCACAAGAAGCAATCTCAAATTAACCAAAAAAAAAAACTTACGTCTTGGACAATGCATCAAAAATGCTCTGGGCCTCGCTGCTAACTCCAACTCCAATCCTCTCGGCCTCGACCTCTGCTTGCCTGCAATTCATCCAATCAAACTAACAGACCATCAAAAGCCTCAGCGAAACAAGAATTACCTCACTGCAGTCTCCTCTCTAGCCTGCAGAGCATTGAGATCAAGATAGCACTTATTAAGATCGAGAGGATCCTCGCCCTGCCCTAGGTAAGTGAACTTCTCAATGTAATTAGCCTTCAAGAGGCGGACTTTTCGTCGAGGGCCATCGTTGGAGCTTCCCTCTTGAAGAACGAGGAGATTTGTGGGGCGATCGTAGCTGATGATCTGGCCATTGATCTCTTCGCCGAAGGTCGTCGCTAGGGTTAAGAAGCGGCCAACGGTCCAATCTGCAATTGATATTATTTTGTTCACTTAATTGTCAATAAAATCACGTAAGAAGGAGAGAGGTTTTGTACCGGAGGAGTCGGCGAGTCCCATCGACAGCGGCGACGGCGGGAGCAGGTTGACCTTTCGGTTCTTCGAGGGCGGTGGAGGTGTGGGCAGGGGTTTATTTTGTGGTTTGGGTTTCCTTTTTTGCTTTTTTACATCCAGATGCGCATGTGGGCTCGTTGAGAGAGAGTGTGGAAGGCTGAATTGTAGCAGGGGCTGTTTTGTAAGAAAATTATATAATCTAAAATCTCAAGAATATAAGCAAATTAATTTGTGATTTTTTAAAATGTATCTAATTTTCATGTGATTTTGGCAGGAAATTTCCATGTTATTTTAAAATTTAAATGAAGAGATAGTTTAAAGTTAAGGAGATAATAAAATTATTCAGTATAGTGCAATTACAAATACGGTAAACCTTGCAAAAAATGTTTACCCTTGAAAATCAACTTTAAAAGTTACTTGTTTGAATGTTTAATTTTTATTATAGAAAATATATATTTTTAATTACAGTTCTATGTTTGTTCATTACAATAGTCATGTGATTTGCATATCTTGTTGCGAATAACGTTTTTTTTTTGTTTTTTTTATGATTGCAAATGAACCACATATTTGGAGTTGGAAACTAATTTGACGATGTGACGCCTCATTTGATACGTGACGATATAGTCAAGTAAGAATAGAATGAATGTAGAAATTGAATGGAATTGATGTGTGAATGGAATGCTCATTCACATTCTCATGTTTGTGTGCAATTAGAGAATTAAGTAGGAATATATTTAAGAATGATATATCCAGAATTTATTTTATTATTTTTATTTCTACTTGAGTGGGAATATTACTTCATTGATTGATAACTCATTGGGAATAGAAAATTCCACATTAAGTGGGAACTGATGAGAAGTGTGAATGATATTTTTAGTATCCAACACATCATGTTTGGTGGTTATGAATGAGAAGTTCGAGTTGTATTCCATTTCCGGTCATTCCCATGTACTAAATGAGGCATGAGAGTAAAGGACTATTTTAGTACACTTCAATTATAGTTGTTGCAAATTTTGCGTGCAAAAAATATTGTATACAATATTTGCTGCATGGAATATGCCTCAATTTTGTCTCCTGGATATTTACAATTTTCTCACGGTAAATGTATTTTCAATTACAAACCAAGTATTTTGTCTAGTTGGAAAAATAGTTAGTTTTGCATCTTTTCATCATAGGAAATGCATATTCATCATAAATCAAATGTTTGTTTCTATACAAATATAAAAATATCTATATTTTGTACCTCTATTTCACTAATTTGATTTTTTTATTTAGTTATATAGAGAGGTGCAACATTTATTGCGGTCAAATTGGTTACAAAATTGCTACAGCTTTATTACAAAATGTAATCTAGCTACGATAACTAACTATGTTGTTGTTGCAAACCAATTGTCGAAAAAATATATTTGCAACAATTTACCATTGTAAAATCTATTTCCTGCGAACAAAACAAATATTATTTTCAGTTATCTTTGTGAATGCAATGACTCGCATCAATTTCTTGCAGTCAAAATGGGCGCGACAAATATTATAGCTCATTGCTTCAAGCAATGGAGATGCAAATATTAGTGCACTATTTTGCGGTTATATCTATTTTTCTATCAAGATCAAAAGATGCATAAAATAATCAGCCTTCGAATATGAGTAGGATAAAGAGATAAAAAAAAACTCGATAACTTTTCATTTTTTAGACAAAACTATATTAATTATTTGAGAAACTACTAGACTTGTAAAACTCACTTCAAAACTTGGAGAATCTATTCAAAAAATTTAAAATGCACTTCATTGGATAAGTCTTAGTAACATTAGATAGAGAGAGGGGGTTAGTTCCGCATGGTCTAAAAAATCTCAGTATCTTGGAGGACAAACTTAATATTTTAGATAACGTTTTACTGTTTTGCGTGTCCTAAAAAAAGGTTCATTTTCCTCATTATTCTTTTTGTCTCGCACTATTTTAAAAAGTTAGGTTTACTTGGAACCAACCCTGTCCCAAACTCTACAAGACAATTTTCCAAAAATTATCAAACAAACTTAATTAACGGACTGACTTTTAAATACAAGATTGTAGAATAAATCTCCAATTTATTCACCCATCGAAGAAACAAAAGATGTGGTTTTTGTGTTAGTCCCTTGTATATTTAATATTTTTAAATTAGTCATCTAAACCATTGAAATCTACCATTACGTCCTCTAATAATCATAAGTTGTTTTAATTTGGTCCTTTCAACGTACATGAATCGATTTGGATAAATCAATTTATGAGAATTAAGGAGCCTGATAATCATTCAGATGATTTAAGGAACTAATTTTATAATATTAAAATTTTAATTTAAGGCGCTAATATCAAAAAAGCCCCTAAAAGAAAGAGACAAATGTCCAGTGCGCAAATTAGCACCACGCAGTCGCGTCATCTCGGACAAAGCGCGACGAGGGCCGGCAAACAATAGGGGTTATAACTCCCATCCGCCCGCGGTCAAACCCAGGCACGCCCTCTGTATCCCTCCCGCGTATGTTAGCCCCAACCCTTCCGCGCTTCCGTGCGTCCCTCTATTATTCTATAATTACAAAGACAAAACAAAATCACTACAAAAAGCCCCTCACCCCCTCGATTTTTCTCTCTCCTGCCCAAATTTTCTCTCTCCTGGCGTTCTTCTCTCTTTCTTTTTTCTTGGCCTCAGATCGCGAAATTCGCGACCCAAATCTCTCCCAAATTCCTTCGATTTAGCCGCTAATTTCACTCCTCCTCCTTTCCTTTTTCCCTTCGTTATCGGATCATCCGAATCCGCAGCCTCCGATCCGATCCGAATCTCTTGGAGGGAGAAATTAGGGTTTCGTGTCCCCCATATCTAACTTTAGCCAGCGTGGACGAGCGAAAGCGGGCTGGATCTAGGGTTTGATGAGCTGCAGCAGCTGGTTCAGATTCTAGGGTTTCGATTTGGCGTCGAGGGGAATTGATTGATTGGGGGGAAATAGTTGGAATTGATGGTTCAAACAAGGAGGGAAGATGATGAAGGGATATGCATGGAAGGGGAAGTGAGAACTGGAAGCGGCGGAGGCGGCACATGTGGCCTGTCCCTGCTCCGGGACCACCAGTAGTCGTACGGTCGTCTTCATCATTGTATCCGTCGTCGGATTTTTCGATTCAAGGGTCGGTCGATTCGTTTGTCAAGGTAAAACCACCTCCTTTGATTGATTTTGATCGAGCAGGCGTTTTTGACGTCTGATTGGGGCTTTTTGTTTGGGAAGTCGAAAGGCTGCTCTCTTGATTGCAGTGGGTAGGATTGTGATTGGATTTCGTGTTGGAAGCCTAATTTTGTTTGGGAAGTCGAAAGGCTGCTCTCTTGATTGCAGTGGGTAGGATTGTGATTGGATTTCGTGTTGGAAGCCTAATTTTGTTTGGGAAGTCGAAAGGCTGCTCTCTTGATTGCAGTGGGTAGGATTGTGATTGGATTTCGTGTTGGAAGCCTAA